ACCTGCCGGCCATGGTGCTGTGAGCGCCCGGGCGCGGCGCGCTGCACGGCCACGCTGCGCCCCGGGAGGAGCCCCACCCCGGGGCACGCGCTCTTCGCCACCCCGCTGGTCTGGTTGCTCTGTGCCTCCCTTTGGCGGGGAGAGGGTCACTCACGACCGGCCGCACCCCCGATCTCCCTCTCCCTGGCGGGCGTCCCCGTCGAGGGTGGCAGGAGAGTCCCCAAGGGCCCTCGCGGGAGAAGCGGGAATCCGCACCTTCCCCCACGGAGAGCTCCGTGCTCGGGAATCAAGGCAGAGCGACCTCCCCCCGGTGCCCCTTCGCCCAGGGCTGGCAGGGCGCGAGTCTCTGCGTCCTGGGCTCGGCGGCCAGGAGAGGGGGTGCCCAAGGCGACAGCCTTGAGAGTCGGGGGCTATGGGGCCCAGAAGCAGCCAGCAGAGGCCCGGGGAGCTGCTCCGAGCGCGACGGGTCCCGGGGCCCCCGCATCCGTGCGTCCCCAGCTCCGGCCGCGGGCGCCCTCTGGCGTCGACCCCGCGTCCCGGCCACTTAGCCGAATTCCCGTCGGGCGTTTTGTAAGATAAAGAAACTATAATATTAATTAAAAAGTATAAAGTGTATAGAGTTTTCCAGAAACGGTGTTCTACTTCCAGAAAATGGTCACTTTACCTTTGTACATAGTTATCTAAATGATATTTACAAAACTATGATATATATTATTTGATTGTATATGTACACCTGTAAATACATTTGTACCTCTTGTATTCTAAAATAAAAATGACTCGGAACATTTCTCCTTTGGCCTTTGAGCGGGTGCGCGCGTGAGGGCGTGAGAAGGAAATCAGGAAATCGCTCAGAAGCTGGCAAGGGGTGAGGACGATCGTCCCCCTTACTGGTGCTGAAATTTTACCGCGGTGCCCTCTGCAGGAGAACGTTTGTGTCACAGTTCGGTCAAAGCCCAAAGAGGAGGCCACATTGCTAACCCAGGCTGGCCTCAGACTCGTGGCGATCCTCCTGCCTTAGCCTCCCAAGTGCTGGGATTATAAGCATGCACTGCCACACCTGGTCATGCATTTACTTAGTTTTCCGTTTTCATGCCAATTTAAAGGGCTCAGAGAAACGCTGGGCTGGACTAAGATGACCACCCAGTGCCCTCCCGATGCCTGGAATTGCATAATGCTCTCAGGACAACGCCCAGAGCATTGGGTAGAGGACCCAGGCTGAAGAGGGCCAAGGAGCACACAGGCGTCCGGCTTCTGGGCATGGCAGGCCCGCCTGGCTCTCCCCTCTCCTGGACCTGCTGGTCAGTAGCTGTGTGGGCTGGGGAGCGTGTGTCACACCCGAGCTCCGCATATGCCAGCCAGGACTGTGCCATCCTCCCCAGCTCCTGAGGATCTCACTTCCGGGCATCTCTGTGCATCCTCATCCGGCCCCGCTGCTGTGCACACCCGCGTGCACACCCACAGACCCTCAAGAGAGCTCACTGGTGCGCCGAGCGCACGGGCTCACTCTGAAGATTCCCCTTGGCACCTGGCTCCTGGCCAGGGACAGGAAAGCCCACCCGGGGTGTTCACTTGCAGGTCCAATTCAGGCTTCACTCCTTGGGCCACCCCCTCCCTTCCAAACCTCGCTCCTGCTCCTCTTTTCATGCCCCTGTGGCCCTTGAGCAAAATTTAAGCGGTTATCGGTGGGTGACTCAATTCTGTGAAGTCCCAGCTAAACAGATCACAGGGCTTCACCTGGGCTCCAGAACCCGCCTGGTGGCAGTGTGAGGTAACTGCAGCCGGAGGCCGCAATTGTGCTGCTTCCACCGTGCACGCTCATGGAAGTGTGCAGCCTCGTGTGCCGGGGCTTGACTAGGCCCTGGGACCCAAGGATGAGAGCACGTGGTGTGTTCTGGGTGTGTCTGGTCCCTCGCCCCTTCCTCTCCGGCGCTGTTCCCCGCTCTGCTTCCCGGCTGCTGTGCCCTGAACTCCTCCACGCCTTCCATGATATTTCTGCCCTGCAGCCAGCTAACCACAGACTGACCCCCCTGACACTGTGAGCCAGGTGGAGCCCCTCCTCCTAACCTCTTACTTCCGGCCATTGGTAGCAGAAGCGTTGGACTGCTTTCTCGAAGACACAGCCTCAACGGCAGGCCATGCTGTGCAGCGATTTCTGTGCTCCGGCCCTGCACTTAGGGTTTTACACACACAGGTCCCAGGAATGTCCGGACTCACCACAAGCTGGTGGTGTGTCTCCCCTTTTTCCTGATGCTCCTTTTGAAGTACGAGGAAACTGAGGCATAGGGCGAGAGTAAGTCACTTGTCCTGTGTGTGGCAGAGCAGGGTTCCAGCTCTGGTGTCTGACCCCAGAAGCCACTCCTGAGGACAAAGTGGGATTGTGGATATAAACAAATAAAGTACTTGGTAAGTGCCCAATAAATGAGAGCTTTGCTCTGATTGGTGGGAAGGGTTGTGGCTCCTGCAGCCAGCCCCCCAGGGGGTCACTCCATAGAGAGCCTGAGGCAGCCGCTGCGCCTCTCCGTGCACCCTTCGCTCTACCCTCGGTCCTTGGATCTTCTGAATTAGAGGAACAGATACACTGAGCTTGCAGCTCTCTTTCTCCCTCCAAGCTGGCTGGCTGGGACGTGCATCCTTGTGGGGCTTAAGAGCCTGAGATACGGCTGGGGAGTCGTGGCGCTCGACTGCTCGCACGCTCTAGGACAGCTCAGGGTAGCCAAGCTTCTCAATGTCAGCACAGAGGCAGGTGTCCCCCGGGAAGCACCTGGCAGTTGCATGGTCCGTGCTGCCCCAGCCCTGGAAATCACACAGAGCCACTTTGGACATGTGCTGCCTAGCAAAGTGGTCCTAAACCCACTCAGATGCAAAGGAAGGAGATCCAGATCCCCAATTTCTCTTTAAGGGATGTTACTGGGGATTGAACCCACGACTCTGCACACGAAGCAACATCCATAACCCTTTTTATTTTATATTTTGAGACAGTCTCACTAACTAAGTTTCTCAGGCTGGTCTCAAACCTGTGATCCTCCTGCCTCAGCCTTAGAGAGTGCAACACCCTGATTTTTTTTTTTTTTTTTTTTTTTTTGAGGCAGGGTCTTGCTATGTAGTTCAGGCTGGACTTGAACTTACTATGTAGCCTAGGCTGGCCTCAAACTCATAGCAATCCTCCTGCCTCAGCCACCTAAGTGCTGGGGATATAGGTATGCACCACCACACCTAGTTTCTAGAGCTTGTTTTAATTCAAAATTGTAAGACAAGCAGACACACAAATGGCTGCCATGGAGAAAGCACCTGTGTACATCCACAGGTCCCTGGAAATAGGAGGCAGAGCAGTGAGAGAGCGCAGTAAAGGTGATGGGTATGGATTATGGATCGAGTGGTCTCGCAGGAAAGGCTCAGTCTTGAGTGAGTTGTTTACTGACCCTAGAATTCAGTTAACCCGGGGAAAGAAGATCCCTTCAAGGACAGCCAGGGCCTAAGGGGTCAGAGTACCAAAATACACAAAATCAAAGACAAGGCTGATATGAGGGCCTACAATGGTTCATACATAGTCCTGTGAATTAGCCAGGGAACAAGATAGACCAAGTCTGGCTGGGTGTGGTGGTACATACTTGGGAGGCTGATGCAGGAGGATTGCATGTTTAAGGCCAGCCCAAGAAATTTAGAGAAAGCCTGTCTCAAAATAAAATATAAAAGGGCTAGAGATGGAGCTAGCGATCGCACACCCCTGGGTTCAATTCCAGTAGTCCCCAAAAGACCAAGTCTAGGTATTTGTGGGGCTCATTATACAGAGGACACAGCTGGTACACAAATAAATAAGCAAATATACCCTGAGCAGTACTAGGAACTGAGCCCAGGGCCTTTGCGCTGAGCTATATCCCCAGGCCCTTTTTTCCTTTTTATATTGAGACAGGGTTTTGGTAAGTTGCTAAGTTGCCCAGGCAGGACTTGGTTTTGATCTTCCTGCTTCAGCCTCCACATGCTGGAAATGCAGCAGTGCATCACCATATCTGGCTGCTATGCTTATTTTTTCAACAAATATTTTCTGTCTTCTCTGGGCCAGATGTAGTACTGAGAGCTGATCTATATTGAACAAAACAGATGAAGCACCAGTTTTCTGACCACCATAAACAAATAAGAAAACCCAGCGTTGAGAAATAAAATAGGGGGCACTTCCAGGAAGAGGGTGGAGTGGTGAACAGCAGAGAAAGAGCCTCTCTGAGACGTGGTGTCCAGACACTGGAATACAGCAACGTGAGGAAGCAAAGGAAGGAAGGAAGCAGGTCCCCAGGATCCAGTAAGGATTTAAAGTGAGAACTGAAACCCACAGGGAGAGCAAATAGAGACCTCAGTGCAGGAGGAGCAGGTGGCAGGCAGCTCTTTCTCCCTGGCGATGACTCACTGCGTGGGAGAGACAGCCCGAACCCGCAGATGCAGGTGACTGCTGGTGACTCCAGAGGCCTCCACAGAGAAGTGCACTGGTGGAGAGGAGCAGCGGCTGCAGCAGACTGCAGTGGCTGGTGAGTTATTTGGGTTCAGACGTCCCTCCAGGAGAGGACAGTTGGCTGGTAGCCCTCTTGCCAGGGGGCTCAGAACGCGGAAGAGCTGCAGTTCCAGCGCCATCTAGTGGCTCCCAGTGACAGGGTGAGGCTGAATGGAGTCCAAGATGGCAGGAGGTCGAGGAGCTGAGTTCAAGCCAGCAGGAGGCAGGTGGAGTGTTGCAGTCTGAACAAATCGGGTTGCAGCCTTACAGCCAGAAACCAGCGTGAACTTCAGTGGAGCTAAAGCTACAAGCTTGCTGGGATTATCCCCTACCCCACTGTAAATCTACAGCTGCCTTGCTGGGATTGTTCAACACAGATCTGGACTGTCTGCCTGCCTTGTTTCCAGTGACAGCAGAAATATGACCTAACATGGACATTGCTTTATTTTCTTGTTTGTTTTTTTTTGTTTGTTTGTTTTTTTCTGGTACCAGGAATCAAACTCACGACCTTGCGTTTGCCAGGCAGGTGCTGTGCCGCTGAGCTAAATCCCCAGCCCTGTTTTGTTTTTTTGATTATTTTTTCTTGTTTTTACATTGTTTCTATTTTTTTTCTGATGTTATTGTTCTGCTCTATTCTTGTTTTTATTTCTTCCTTCTCTCTTTCTCTCCTGGCACCTTCACCAGTTTCCCAAAGTTCTCATAATCTTCCTTTGTCCTCCAGCCTTGCTTCTACTCTCTTCCTCTTCCTCTATTTCTCTATTTTTCTCTTAATTCCTTTAAAATTTTCTCCCCAGAGGGTAATAGTATGCCATATTGATGACATATTTACTGTATACAATTTCCTGGTTTGTTTTAGATTTTGTTATATAACCACAAATATAATTCATACAGTTAAAGCTGGCAAATTAATAGTTACCACAGTTTGTCCTTTTCTAGGCTGTGTTTGATGCTATTGTTGATTCTACTACTTCAACAAAGGTGACATAACTGTTCTAATCAGTTATTCTTCCTGTGTGCTAAGATTGAGATTGCCTAAGGGTCATAAACAATATAGGCCAGTGCCAAAGA